AGGTTGCGGTGGCGGGGAGTGGCCACTGCACTCCAGTCTGGGCGACTGAGTGAGACTCCAACTCAAAAAAAAATAAAAAAATTAAAAAAATTAGCTGGGCGTGTTGGCGTTCGCCTTTAGTTCTAGTTACTTGGAAGGCTGAGGTGGAAGGATCGCCTGAGCCCAGCAGGTCAAGGCTGCAGTGGCCATGAGTGTGCCACTGCACTCCAGCCTGGGCCACAGAGTGAGACTCCAACTCAAAAAAAAAAAATTGGTGGCCGGGCGCGGTAGCTCATGCCTATAATTCCAGCACTTTGGGAGGCCGAGGTGAGAGGACTGCCTGAGTCCAGGGGTTCGAGACCAGCCTGGGCAACTTGACAAGACCTCATCTCTACAATAAATCAAAAGAGTTAGCCAGGCGTGGTGGCGCATGCCTGTGGTTCCAGCTACTTGGAAAACTGAGGCGGAAGGATTGCCTGAACCCAGCAGGTCTTGATTGTGGTGGCTGTGAGCATGTCACTGTACTCCAGCCTGGGTGACAAAGTGAGACTCCAATTCAAAAAAAAAAAAAAGCTGGGCTCGGTGGCTCAGCCTGTAATCCCAGTGCTTTGGGAGACTGAGGAGAGTAGATTCCCTGAGCCTGTGGGTTCGAGACCCGCCCGGGCAACTTGGCAAGACCTCATCTCTACAATAAATCAAAAATTAGCCGGGAGTGGTAGCACACACCTGTAGTTTCAGCTACTTGGAAGGCTGAGGCGGAAGGATCGCTGGAGCCCTGCAGGTCAAGGCTGCAGTGGCCGGGAGGAGCGGCCACTGCACTCCAGTCTGGGCAACAGAGTGAGACTCCAACTCAAAAAAAAAAAAAAAAATTGGCTACAGTCCTCCTTGACTGACTGGGAACTACTAAGAGGATTTAGGCTGGGGTGAGATAAGTCTGTGTCTTGTTGGTGTTGGCTATTTGTGGTTCATTTTCACTTTTGTTGCCAAGTAATAGAACCAGAAATAGTAGTTTGCCTTTCTGTGTCACTGGTCATCAGTAACAAAGGGAGCTGGTGGATTCTAGAATTTTAGACCTCAGAGAGATTTTTAAAATATCTTGATTGAGGATTCTTAACTTGGGGTCTGTTTATAGACTTAATGGATCTATAAAACCCTTAAATTTGTATGAAAAGTTGTATGTGTATGTGCATATGTCATTTTTTTCAAGAGTTCATTACAGTTATTGGTGCTAAGTCTTTGGTTCTTCCTCTAAAGGATTAAGAATTTCGTTTGAAAACTTAGTATCATTAAGACTAGGGAGTATACATGTTAAACTAATAGAGCATAACTGGAAAATTTTTAGGAGCTTAGATGAAATGCTTTCACAGGATTCCCTTGAAGGCCAGATTGATTAACTGGACATGAGATTCCTAAACTGAGGAATTCAGAAATAAATTAGCAGTGGTTGTCTTCATCTCCAAAATAGGCTATATATATAGACAGTCTTTGAAGTTACATATACTAAAATATTTAGGGATAAAGTGTTGTGATATTTGCAGTTCACTTTCAAGTGGTTAGGAAAAAATATTTGTATGTGCATGCACAGGTACATATAGAGATAAAGGAAATGTGGCAAAATGTTGCCAGTTGGTTGATCCAGGTGCTTACTGAATTAGTCTTTAAACTTTTTAATTTCTGTGTTTTTTAATTTTTCAATATAAAACACTGGGGAAAAATAAATCTGTGATGTGTGTGTGTGTGTGTGTGTGTGAGATATATATGTGGTATATGTGATACAGATATGAATCTCTAAGGGAGGACCAAAATGTAAAACTGAAATGTATTTTAACGAAAGTTGATTAGAGATGCTAATGCCATACGTATTTCTTTTTTTTCCCCCTTCAACTGTCATAAAAATACCCCCCTTTCCCCCAGTTATAACAATTCTTTTGGTGAGGGAGCTTATGGGGAAGCAAATTTCAGTTAATTTCCTAACAAGCCAGCACAGTAGCTCACGCCTATAATCCCAGCACTTTGGGAGATCAAGGCAAAAGGATTGCCTGAGCTCAGGGGTTCGAGACCAGCCTGGGCAACTTGGTGAGACCTTATCTCTACAATAAATGAAAAAATAAGCTGGGCATGGTAGTGTGTGCCTGTAGTTCCAGCTACTTGGAAGACCAAGGCAGAAGCATCTCCTGAGCCCAGTAAATCGAGGCTGCAGTGGCCGTGAGTGTGCTACTACACTCTAGTCTGGGCAACAGAGTAAGACTCTGACTCAAAAAAAAAAAGTCTGCCATTTAGAATGAGTTAATTTTTTTTTTTGAGTCAGAGTCTCACTCTGTCACCCAGACTGGAGTGCAGTGGCCGCTCCTGGCCACCGCAGCCTCGGCCTGCTGGGCTCCGGCGATTCCTCTGCCTCAGCCTTCCGAGTAGCCGGAATTACAGGCATCAGCCACCACGCCTGGCTAATTTTTTGATTTATTGTAGAGATGAGGTCTCGCCAAGTTGCCCAGGCGGGTCTTGAATCTGCGGGCTCAGGCAATCCACTCACCTCAGCCTCGCAAAGGCGTGGGATTACAGGCTGAACCACCGAGCCCGGCTAGAATGAGTTGATTTTTGACACAGCATACATAAAAGACTTAATCTGACCAAATCTAATATGTTAATAGTCTGAAATCTAAGGATGGAGAAGCAAAAACATTCCAAATTTTATTCTTTTTTTTTGAGTTGGGGTCTCACTCTGTTGCCCAGACTGGAGTGCAGTGGCCGCTCCCGGTCACTGCAGTCTCGACCTGCTGGG